CTGACAACTGGTAAGGACTCTCTTCACCTGCTTATGGGTCCTCCTTTAGGTCCTGAGAATTTTCATCACTCACTCTCTTTCTGTTGGGACTTCAGCACCACCTCAGGTGCTGAATGATCTCTCTTCAATGGTGCTACACCTACGCCTGAGACCTACACCTTAGCACAGTTTCCACAATGGGCCCTGACAGTCATGTACTCTGGACCAACATTGGGTGAAAGAACAGCTACTTGACATTTGACGCCTCTTTATTCACCAACCAAAGGCAGCTCCATTCATGACTTTCATTTGTAGAATTTTTAGACATGACTCTTACACCAGGTGGTTGTGTTCATCAGACTTGAAGAGGACAGAAATCAAGCTCTTCTGGTAAGGTTTTTGAAGCTCCACTAAACTTTAGTTGAGGAGGAGGCATGTCCCTTCCTTATTCCATGGAGAGAAAGACCTTCCAATAAGTTGATAATCCTCTCTTTCTCAAAAAAATTCCTCTCGTCAACTTCAACACACTCACAGTATATGAGGTGCTAAAGACTAAAATCAGATTTTGAATACCTCTTTGAAAGTCCAGTCTCTCCCCCAGCTTTGGATTGTAGTGCTGGTTGGCACCTATCGTTTCTGGATCCAATAAAAACTGTGACAGAAGGAGTGCCATTCATTGAATACCCTTTGAAAGAGATAACTTATAGTCTAATGAGTGTCTCTGGTCAAGAAGCAAAGGTTAGCTAGAACTAAAGAGACTGGATGTGAGAAACTGAAAATTGGAAACTGATATCTTTCTGTCTTCCCATTTGCCTCTCTCTGCATTGTCTTATTTTTCTTCTGTCTTCTTATGATTGCTTGCCATTCTCCTCTGTGACTCATAATTTCTTCCCTCCTTGGTGCCTGCTTGTAGATGGCTTTGGTTTACCATCACCTCCATTCAAACACTGCCACTAAATTAATGTTGACCTCTTTCTAGACTTTACAGTTTGAATTTCTGAGAATGAGAATCTGATTGGTCAATCATTATCTAATGAGACAGCTCCTTGGTGTCTCCTGATTCAATCAGTTGTTTCTAGCTAATTCTGGGAAGATGAAGGTTATATGATAATTTAAAATTGTCCCTGATGAGTGCCGCTTTTGCCAGGGCTATAGGCTTGGACAACTGCCAAAAAAGGGGAACATATCTACACGTGTATTTTCAAATATATCCAGAAATGTAATTTTCCGACTATCTTACCTTCTAATTTTGTGCTTTTCCAATCAATGTAATTTCCTCAGGCTGTGTTACAAATCTATTCATTCATTCAGTCATTCATTCATATTTATTCTGACTTGAAGCCCCTTCTTACTTTAGTTCTTTGACTATGACCCATTCCTTATGATCCAGATCAAACATCATCTCTCTCAGAAAATCTTTTTCAAACCTTCATAATAGGTTCTTGCTCTGAGTTCCTAAAGCACCCTGAAGATGCCTTTATCCTGTCATATGAGTGCTACTTGTATACTGTCTTTGTGTATTTAAGAAGTTGTTTTCCCAACAGACACCTCAAGGTTCATTGAGACTGTATTGTTGCATCTTCAGACTCTAATAGACTAAATAAACAGAAGTAATAAAGGCAGTGTTATTTTACATAGGAAATTCAGGGAAGCATCTCTGAGGAGCTGGTAATTGAGAAAACAACATTTTAGGGGATAACCAAGGTGGATATTTGGAGGAAGAGCATTCCACACAAAAGGAAAAGCCAATGCAAAGTTCCCAGGCAATAACAGTTAGGAACCCTGTACGATCAGATTGGGGATGTGCTCTATCTAGAAAAGCCAATTAAGCCCACATTCATCCTTTTACCAACTGCATCACAACTCAAGGGAAGTTCACCCTGTGTTGGAGGTGGATGTGCTCCAGTGCTCATTTAGAAGATGAATTCTTATGGTCCTGTGCTGAGACATTAATAGAGTAGGTTTAGGAAATCCAGTTTAACTCATATTTATTCTGGGCTTCCGAAAAGTTTCTATTTTTCAGTGAATGCCTCATTTGTTATTGGGTGCAATTTTTTTGTTATTGAGTGTGCTAATTGAATGTATAAGATAACTTAATTATTTAAAAGTCTTTGGCTTTTCATTCAAGCCAACTTAAAAGTACAGAACTCCATCTGTATAGTAGAATTATGAAGATTCAGAAAAATCATGGATTTTCTCATTTAATATTGTCATTCTTAAACTAAAATTTTGGTTATTTCTTATTTTGTGCCTTATCTCGTAAACATTTTGAAGAAAAAAATGTGGACATTAGAAAAGGAATAATTTTATAACGATCAACCTACTACCAGTCAATTCTCTCTAGTATTTCTCAAATAACAGTAAACATATCTCTGAGGTTCAAATAATGTGTCTTAGGAGCTATCAATAATCTAAATAAAATTTTATATTTTGGGGGGTTTTAAAATGACAATCGAAAGTGCTTACATTTTTGATCATTTTAATGGCCCCTTCATAATTTGCTAGTGCCATGCAATTTCAGTATCCATATTTTCATTTGTGGTTATGGTCACAAAGAGGAAAATAATACTTTTTCTTTTTTTTTATTATTGTACTTTAAGTTTTAGGATACATGTGCACAATGTGCAGGTTTGTTACATATGTACACATGTGCCATGTTGGTGTGCTGCACCCATTAACTCATCATTTACATTAGGTATGTCTCCTAATGCTATCCCTCCTCACTCCCCCCACCCCACGACAGACCCTGGTGTGTGATGTTCCCCTTCCTGTGTTCAAGTGTTCTCATTGCTCAATTCCCACCTAGGAGTGAGAACATGTGGTGTTTGGTTTTCTGTCCTTGTGATGGTTTGCTGAGAATGACAGTTTCCAGCTTCATCCATGTCCCTACAAAGGACATGAACTCATCCCTTTTTATGGCTGCATAGTATTCCATGGTGTATATGTGCCACATTTTCTTAATCCAGTCTATCACTGATGGGCATTTGGGTTGGTTCCAAGTCTTGCTACTGTGAATAGTGCTGCAATAAACATACGTGTGCATGTGTCTTTATAGCAACATGATTTATAATCCTTTGGGAAAAGAATGCTCTTTCAATGACCTTGGGCTAATGAGAAAAGCATAGGACAGAAAGTATTTAATATGTAAATGACTTGTTACAATGAATGAAAGAGAAATAATGCTAAGACACATGATAAGAACTAGAAGTTTTGGTTGTTATTGTTGCTTTTATGTAAATGGAAAGAAAGTGGTGGGAGAATTGCATTATCACATAGGGTTCAGGACATGATCTTGTGTGATAGCTATGTTACATTCATATTGCTGGCAGCAATTGTTTTGCAGAAAAGTGACTTCTTCAGTCATATAAAATAAATTTTCTTGTTTCTATTTTTTTTTTATTTGTAAATCACTTGCATTTAACATATAAATTTGTTTGGCTGTTAGAATTATATAATAGTATCCATCATAAAGAATTTGTACCAATTTTATGTTTACACATATTTAATTAAAATACAATTACTCATGTTAAAATTGAACATCTTTGAAAATTAGTTATTTTTTAATGGGTAAAAATTTTATTCAAGTTTGATGAATACTGCAATATTGTAACATACTCATGATATAAACAATTAAATGATCTGTGACATTTTAGCCATCATGAACAGAAAGGGGTATCATGAAAATAAGTTCAAGGTCTCTTGTGTTATATATCAAAGAATATGTAACAGTTAATATCACAGGGTCACCTGAAAGTAATTTCAAACAACACCAAAAATGTCAAGTGAATTAATTCTTTTGAAACATCACATATTTTATGGCAATATTCTTTCTTTTAAATTAAAGCATTGCAAAAAATGAATGAAAAATGCCATGCTCCTTTCATAGTTCACACTTTTCATATGAGGTTTATTCAGTTTGTAAAATTAAACATAATTGGCCATTTCATATTGACTGAAAGGTATAAAATTATATTATGCTTCTTAATAATAAAAATGATATTTTCAAAGACTTCTATCAATGTAAATATTTCTTAATTTTCAAGATTTAAATTTGAAAACAGATGGCAATAAAGGAGAGAAAAAAGAAGGGAGATAGAAAAACAAAACAGAAGGGATGAATTTGTAATGCTTGAAGTACTTCATAGCTTCCAATTTCCCTGAAGTTGAAGTGTTTATGTGGTAGTCTAGCTTTCTCTACTATCTCTAGACAGAGAAAAGCAGAAAGACAGACAATGGGCGATGAGCCTAAACCGTAGGTATTTTGCTGTTCTGAATAAAGGTGGTTTAGAAACTCTCCCCTGAAGCACATCAAAGCACAGCATGTTCATGGTGGCTTGAATTTAATCTGCTGTGACCCAGATATCTGGAAGTTAAAAGAAGCTAAAGCAATGTGTGTGAATGTATATATCCAGAAAGAGAATGTCAAGGTATTTTTAAAAATAATTCCCCAAGATGTATCTGAATTTCCATTGTCTGTTATCAGTTCCAGTAATCGCTGATTATAAGTTTCTGAACATTAAGGCCATATGCCAGAGACAGCTGAAATCTCGGTAGTGAACATAACTATCTAGAAACTAGATTGTGAAGAAAAAAGTCAAACTATATGATAAAAATATGGAATAAAAACACTTGGTAGGTAACTTTTTTAAGAAAAAAAAAGGAAGTTCACCAAGATATATAAGTTTATAGGCACAACCTAAGAAAAATAAATAAAATGGTCCATACAGCTAAGACATACATAAATTTAAATCACTGGTCTTTTACATTAGCAGCAACATCTTCAAGAACAAGCCAAAGCAAACACATTTATGACTAATACTTTTTCAAATTAGCTGTAGAATAAATTATTATTAAATAAGGAAACCATGCTTTTAAATATTAAGAAAGTATTCTCAAAATCTTTTAGGTAAATTACATTATTAAAACCCTAATGAGCTCCAAAGTTGTAACCTAAATTCTAGTGTTTACGACTAGAATTTTGGCCCACCATCTATTTTCTTAATAATCACAGAACCATCAACTGTTATTTAGAATTTATTTTTTATTTGTATATAGATTTTTGAGTACAGTACAATTTTCTATAGGATAATTTAATTTATGTATCAAGGTATATTTAGTAGACATTTCCAGCATGTGAGAATTTATATTTCAGCATATCTCAGGAGCCAATTAGATAGAGTATAAATCTCCCAAATCGTTCCCTTTAGTCAAAGCATATTATAATGTCTTTGGAATTTCAAGGACTAGATTCAATACAGCAAGTGATTCAGTAGGTACGTTTTTATTTATTTCTATTATTCTCCTTCTCTTCCTTCTTGGATTATGTTCTCTATATTCCAATTTGAATAATAATCACATTTTAATTTATCTTTCCCTGAACAGCCCGTTTACCCTAACCTCAGTCGTGCTAACTGGCTCTCACCCTGCATTGATTAAGAACTCCCAGAGATAACAGAGTGTGCAGGAGCATGAATAATCTACTTGCTTCTCAAGTCAATTCTTGTGCATCTCCGCAGTCTGGCAATAACACCCACAATTTGAGTAGTGAGGGGCTAGCTGTGAACTCTCAAATAGCATATGTATGACCTTCTGTTGAAAAAATAAAAATGGAAAAAAAGTAATATTAGTATAATGAACTGTTTCCCTAGAAGAAGAAAATACTTAACCATTTTCTACTTCTGCTCCAGTTCTTCACTGGTGACAGAGAACTATGCTTAACAATCAAATCGGGCAGTTACCAGGAGATTTATGGCCTAAATCTAATGAAAGTAAAACTGCTATCAGTGTTAGAAAACTAGAGGAAATTGCAAAGAATTGAGGTGTTTTTGATATGCTACCAAGCGGAGCTGGCCGTAATAAAACCTTCATCTCTATAATTCACTGTCACAGTCTTAGCTCAGTTACTCATCATTCCTGCCACTGAAGCAGTCCCCACACTGGTCTCTCTGTCACCAAACTTTTTACTTTCCATCCCTACTTCATTTTGCTTTTAAAATTATTATTCCATTTCACAAATCTGATCACATCCTAGTGAGACTCGGAGATGAATTCCCATTAGAAGAAAGTGTAAGCTGCTTAGTCTGGTAAGAAAGTGACTCCTTTATTTTGTCCCAGCCTGATTTTCCAGGATTATTTCTCAACGTCGTCATCTCTCCACAAACCTACCTCACAGCATTCACCCTATGCTCTAGATGCTTGTGATAATTTGACACTGTCACTCATATTTCAGGCTCAGGCTGTTCTTCTTACCTTAAGTGTTCTCTTTCCTATCCTAGTCAGTGTTATCACTTAACAAGACTGAGCACAAAGACATTATAATACGTGTATCAAGTATTGTATTAGAATTATTTGTGTTTTTTCTAACAGATTCTGAGATCCAAAAAGGTAAAGACTTTATGATTTTATTCTCTTGTATTTATTCTTCTACCTCCCTAAATTAAATTTATAAACAAGATTAGTGTCCAAGTATTTTTACCTATTTAGCAAGTCAAAACTCTGCAGATGATAATAAAATTTTTGTTTTGTATTGAGAACATGAGAATAACATAATTAAAATAAATAAAGTTGCTACTCATGTACAAAGGTACACAACACTACTAATTTCTTATTCATAAGTTTTTTTCTCCAGAAATGCCTACAATAAAATTGAAACCTATTTTTATGCTAACAATTATGATATTAATTATTTTTTAAGAAAGTCAGGCACAATGAAAAGAGGAGAAATTTGAAAATCAGAAAGATTTTAGTTCAAATTTTATTTTGCCACACACTAGATATTAGACCTAGAGAAAGTCACTTAACTCCTTGGATATCAAATATGCAAAATGAGGATTAAAATGTTTACTTCTCAAGGATGTTTGAATGATCAACTCAATAAAATTGTGTTATATGGTAAGAAACCACCAATATTCTACCATGTTTATCTACAGACACAGGATAGTTTTCCTTATGGGAATCACTATTGCCTTGAAACTAACCAATTAACTAGTTAACAAGTCATAGGTATAAGAACTATTCTGTGTAGTATAGATGCTTAACAATGGTCAGCCTTAGACAGATGATAGCTTACAATGATCGAATGATGTGACGATGACGACTAGAACATGGATTGCTCATCCAGTCTTGAGCATCATTGCTCATCCACTCTTGCAACTAAGGCATGTGCTTCCACTTTGCTCAGCTTGTGCTTGAGAAATACAGCAAAACTCACTGACTCAGTCACAACTTGGGCCCACGGAACTAACTAGTCAATTAGGTTGTTAACCTGCCTCAGGTACAAGAACTAATGGCTGCAAAGCCAGGTGAAAGTCTACATTAAATTAAATCACTTTGAGACTCTACAAGTCTACATTAAATTCAATCACTTTTGAGACTCTACTCTAAGTTGATATTGTTGGTGCAGCAATAAAAAGACAAGTCAACTTCAGCCCCTGCCTTTAAAAAACTTGCAGATAGCGTTACACAAGACAGGCAGCAATGTGCTTAAAATGAAATTTAAGAGTCACTCTCAGAGGGTACGGAGGAAGAGAGAAAGATTTGTTTGACTATTGGGATCAACAGACATTTCCAGTCTTTAGGAAGCTTGTGGTTTCTGTATCTATGCCTTGTTATTGGTTGAATTTCTTACATAATTCAAACCATTCATTTAAATGAAATTCTGCACAATTTATGAACATAGTATAACAAAGAGTTGTTGCTGATTTCTTTTTCTATCAGTATCTCTGTCCCTTGAATACTCTCTGCTCTCTTTTTTTTCTCTCTCTCTCAAAATAACATGTAAATGAACTGCCAGACTTCATTCCAAATCAGCGAAAGTGAGCAGATTTTATGTAATCCCTTGGCTCCTGGAAACTGCTCTATATCCAATAAGTAAAGGAGGCAAATATTTCACCAGTGTGTTATGACTGGTGGTTTGCAGGGTCATTTGGGTGTTTACAAAGTTAGAAAAGTGTATGAGGTGCTAAAGAGCAATTCAACATAAACAACATTATTCCTTAATGACATGAGTTTTAAATGTTCCTTAAACAATATTATTCTTGATGACATGGTTTAACAGATATTAAAAGATGTTTGAGGTCAATTGTTATTTTACTTATGGAAAGTACCTACAAATATTGAATGAATAATTTGACTTTTTTGCAGTATAAAATGCACTGAAGAGAATATTAGCCATTTTCATAATGTGTCTCAAAAATAATTCTGTTTTGAAACTAGGAAAGGAAATCTTTAACCAAATATTCCATTAGAAATATAGATATACTGAAGAAAAACAATTTGTAAGAAACTTGCAAAGTTTATTATGAAAATGATGGTAGCAATAGGCTCCAATGAATTTTACTACATTTTCCAGGCACAACCTGATGAGTTTTGTGGTGAGATGTAGTTTTGTTTTGATGATAACACACTTTGTTTTTTATTTAGAAATATGTTTCTTTAACCTACAGTGATATAGTGATATTTTCAAAATGAGTATTTTCAGAACTCATTTCAATTTAGTAAATATTGCTCTTCAGATCGTCCCTTAAAAAAATTGTCTCTTAATGCATAGTTTGAAACAAAAGAAAATTTGCAGAGAAGTTGGTATTTTAAAGTCTGTATACAATACATAGTTCCTCAAATTTCAATTCTAATTTAAAAAACCCCACAACTTCCCCAAGACCTTGTGAAAATATGATATATTGCCATTGTACAATAAATAAGATAATCCAACAGTGAAATAGATTTCAATACAAAGTATGAGGAGTTGATGAAAGCAGAAGACATGAGGAAATTAAGAAAAAAAAAAAAACCAGCTAGACTCCAAGCATAAATATCCAACCATAGAGGCAAATGTTTCAAAGCTTTTTAACTTTCCTTATTTAAATAATTTCTTTACTGGGGCACTTTATATTCAGCAGTTCTCCCCTTAAAATAAAAAATGAGGAGGGAAGTAAAATATTAAATAATAAAAGTATTTTAATTGTATAAGGGCTTTGGGTATTGAAAAAAACAAATTTCCTTAAAAATTACTTTAAAAATCTTCAGGATGATTTCTATTTCTACTTGTATTATATTATGTCTATGGGAGAAAAATTACTCCTTTGAACTTGTTTAAAGGAGTAATTGTTTAAACTTTTTAAGTAGGTACAGTTAGAACATTTTTTTAGAATTGTTATTAGTATACTGAGTATATCTAATTTCAACAGAGCAAAATGACAAATATTAGTATAGTTTAAAAAGAAAACAAAAAGAAATGGCTATCACTCACGCTTTATGTGTGTTGTGGATTTTGGTATCAGTGTAGTTTGAGTGATACACAAATAACTTTGAAATGTATATCGTTTAGTTTTAAGCAACTAAAAACATTAAGACCCACCATTGGTTTAATGATTATCCTCAGTTTGTAGAAGATTCATTACCCACAGTAAGAAAATACGCTCACGTTTCTGCTTTGGGTTAATATTCCTTACTGGAACTTCAATGTGTAGTGAAACAATTGCCTACCTTTCATATTTCAGGATCAAAATCAAATCTGAGATATCTTTACAATTTGAAAGAAAAATCTCTTATTTCAAACTACAAATGAAGGCATGCCAAACTAATAGCAAATTGTTTGCTTTTAACAACGTGTGTTTGTGTGTGTCTGATATATATATATATGAATATATATGTGGTGATATATATATATATATATATATATATCACACAACACACACACACGGCATGCAGCACACAGGAAATTGGTGAAGCTTCTAAATTGTAAAATATTGTGAAGAGTTGACTCCTATTGGCTAGAAGCTATAGAATATCATGGCCAAACTGGAAGCTTGACACTAACAGTTTATTGTTTTAAAATTTCAAAATTAGCTAAAATAACAGACACACAAGCATATATTATACCCTGAACAGGAATAATAACCAAATATATGTGTGCAAGATCTAAAGATGGAGAGGAAATTTAGGGTCTATGTTTTTATTTGCTTGAAAGCAAACAATGTACAATTCAAAGTTCCAAAGCATATTTGCACAGACATTGTAATTATTAGCTCACTTTATCTCTGCTGGCTCAAAGTAGTTCTCAGCTTTTTAATCACTTCTCTACTGGCACAGCTAATGTGCCTACAAGTTGTCTAGAATTTTAATATTGCTAAATTTAGTGATGCAAGTTGTGATTAAATTGTTGAAACTTGTTTAATGCAAACCCTGATTGAAAAGAATACATGCTTATTTAAGGAAAATGTACAACTTTGCAAAAATTATATAGCGCTATATATAGTCCCACATTTAACAGCTTTACCAACCTGCAAAAAAGTTGGTTCTTGTAGAAAACTGCCAGGCTATGTAGTCTGAAATCTGGAGTCGTAATACCAGAGAGCTGTCAGTCAGCCATCCATCCATCTAATTGGCTTCTTACCATCTTTCCATCATGTTTTTTTTATAACTGGTCGCCTCTGGCTAAAATGCAAATCATGAGGAAGAGCCGTCTAGAAAAAGCTGCTGCTTTCTTAATTATCTGTCAGAATATGGACCAGTGGACCCAGGGCCGCACTGTAGAGTTATGCTAAGCAGCAAGGCATCATGGGAATTGGAGTGACAGCTCATTTTCCTCCTGTGTTTTCTGTGTTCGAATGACAATGCAGAAATATGGGTTTCCCACACTTTCTCTGAACACCTGGGCTATTGCTTAGGGGAGCACAAAGCCAAAACTGTCACATTTCCAGACATGGTCTTATTGCTGTCACTATGACAGGATTGTTGACAAATGCCAGCAGTCATCTCGGCATCTTGGGAAATGTCTGCCATGATTGTGTCAACAGCCTGACAGAAATTGTTAATGTTTAAACTTCTTCCACTGACAGAATCCTGTCTTGCTGACAATATTTGTCATATGAAACTCAATCTTTGTCAAACTTGCTTAAAAATTAACACTTTCTCAATTTCTATTTTTTTTTCTTCTGGTTTACTGCCTAGCAGTGCAAAATTTTAGCAATAAGATTTCAACAAGGTAACGTAGCACAGTAATTTAGATCCACATTCCATCCAAATTGTCCAACCCATTGTAACTTGTGGGCACTTTGTCCTTTTGACCTTTGCTGCCAGAATAATTAGGCATAAATACAGTATATATATATATGTATATACATACACACGCACACACACACACACACGTATGCCTTAGGATTCAAACTTGTGAATTATTCAAGAGGTACAAAATACTACTTCTCAGTATACAAGGTGGAAAATCAATTAAACTTTGCAGATTTTTTTACTTATAAGTAAATCAGTTGCAGATTTGAAGATATGCATTAACTTTGATTTTTAAGCTTTTTAATTTTTATTCCATTATTTTGAATTTTGGTTAAAAAATTCAATCTGACAAGTTAAACAGTATCTTTTGCAGGAACTCAGCAAGGAGCATTTTTTTTTTTCCTTTTTTATTTCACATGTGATTTTGTCAAAAGTGGACTATTACAGGGATAATCTTAACTTGCTAATTCTGATATATGTGTTAGAAATTATTTATGTGAGAAGTTTAAAGTATATTCATTTTTAAAGGAACATCCTTTATAAATTCTACAGGTGGTTCATTTTTGGAAATTTTTTTTAGTGAAACGCAGTGCTCAGATTACTGGAAGGCAGTTAAATTGTATCTGGCTGTACTAGAAATACCCAATCCTCCACAGGATGCTACATGTCTTAGACACAGTACAAAAAGAAAGAGCAATTGGTTACCTGAGTAATATTGTCCATCTGTCCCTGACAGAACAATCCTTGTCAAACTAAGAGTGACAACTTGTTAACAATGATATAACTATTATTAGCAGTATTATCATTAGATAGTATGTCATAACACACAGTGGTATACATACATAAGTGGTATACCCTTATACCAGTAGGGACATATTAAAATAATTTATTGTGGCTGGGCGCAGTGGCTCATGCCTGTAATACCAGCACTTTGGGAGGCCAAGGCGGGCGGATCACAAGGTCAGGAGATCAAGACCATCCTGGCTAACACGGTGAAACCCCGTCTCTACTAAAAATACAAAAACTTAGCCGGGCGTGGTGGTGGGCGCCTGTAGTCCCAGCTACTCGGGAGGCTGAGGCAGGAGAATGGTGTGAACCTGGGAGGTGGAGCTTGCAGTGAGCCGAGATCACACCACTGCACTCCAGCCTGGGCAACAGAGTGAGACTCCATCTCAAAAAATAATAGTAGTAATAATAATAATAATGATTTATTGTTAGGGTAGATATCTCCTAGAAAAAAGGAATGTATCTAGTAGTACTACTTACTTGAATTACTGTCAAATATAATTTCCAGTTATATTATAGAAAATGAGTAAAAACAGATACTATCTAATTTACTGAAATAAGTAGACTTTTTATTATGCCTTTTAGTTTAGTTTTTGTCTTTAAAGCCTTATATTATTTTTTCATATATTTTTTAAAAATTCAAGCATTACCACAAGGAACTCCAGCAATAGATTGTGATATTTTAGACCAGGAACTGACAAATTTGTTATGCAATAAATCAAATACAGGCATACCTTGGAAATACTGTGAGTTAAGTTGTAGACCACTGCAATAAAGCAAATATTGGAATGAAGCAATATTGTAATAAGGTGAGTCACACAATTTTTTTTGTTTCCCAGTGCATGTAAAAGTTATATTTACACTATATGGTATCCAGTCTATTAAATGTGCAATAGCATTATGCCTAAAAAATAGTGTATATACTTTAATTTAAAAATATTCTATCGCTAAAAAATGCTATCAATCATCGAAGCCTTCAGTGAGTTATCTTTTTACGGGTAGAGGGTCTCATCTTGATGTTAATGACTACTGACTGATTAGGGTGGTAGCTGATAAAGGTTATGGTGGCTGTGGCAATTTCTTTAAAAAAGACAGCAATGAAGTTTACCATGTGGAGTAACTCTTTTTTTCATGAAACATTTCTCTGTAGCATGTGATGCTGTTTCATAGCATTTCATCCACAGTAGAATTTCTTTCAAAACTGGAGTCCATACTCTTGAACCCTGCTACTGCTTTATCTACTGAGTTTGTGAAATATTTTAAATCATTTCTTCTTATTTCAGGAGTGTTCACAGTCTCTTCACCAAAAGTAAATTCCATCTCGAGAAACCACTTGCATTGCCCGTCCATAAGAAGCAACTGCTCAATTGTTCATTTTATCCTGAGATTCCAGCAATTCAGTCAAATCTTCACTTTTATTAAGAGGAGAATTAGAATGCTTTGCTTTTAATTCTAGTTCTCTTGCTATTTCCACTGCATTTGCAATTACTTCCTCCAGTGAAGTCTTGAATCATTCAAAATCATCCATGAGAGTTGAAAGCAACTTCTTCCAAACTCCTCTAAATGTTGATATTTTGATCTTTTCCCATGAATTATGAATGTTCTTAATGGCATATAGACCTTCTGAATCCTTCCCAGAAGGTTTTCAGTTTACTTGCCCCAATCCACTAGAGAAATCACTATTTATGGCAGTACGGCAACTGTAGCTTTATGAAGTGTATTTATTAAATAATAAAGGTTGAAAGTCAAAATTCCTCTTTGATCTATGGGCTACAGAATAGATGTTGTGTCAGTAGTCATGAAAACAATATTAACCTCCTTGTATCTCTCCCTCAGTGCTCTTGGGTGACCAGGTACATTTCAATGAGCAGCAATATTTTGAAAGGAAGCCTTTTTTTCTGAATAGTCAGTCTCAACAGTGGGCTTAAAATATTCAGCAAACCATGCTGCAAACAGATGTGCTGTCATCTAGGTCTTGTTGTTTTATTTATAGGGTACAGGCAGAGTATACTTATTATAATTCTTAAGGACTCTAGGATTTTCAGAATTGTAACTGGGCATTGGCTTCAGCTTAAAGTCACCAGCTGCATTAGCTCTTAACAGAAGAGTTAACATGTCCATTGAAGCACTGAAACCAGGCATTGACTTCTTTTCTCCAGCTATGAAAATCCTAGATGGTATCTTCTGGTATAAGGCTGCTTCTTACACATTGAAAACCTATTCTTTGTGCAGCTACCTTCATCAGTGATCTTAGCTAGATGTTCTGGACAACTTTCGGCAGCTTCTGTCTCAGCACTTGCTGCTTCACCTTGTACTTTTAATGAAGATGGCTCCTTATCTTAAACCTCATGAACCAACCTCTGCTAGCTTCAGGCTTTTCTTCTGCAACTCTCTCACCTCTCTTAGCCTTCATAGAATTGAAGACAGTTGAGGCCTTGCTAGGGAATAGACTTTGGCTTAAGGAAATGCTGTGGCTGGTTTGATCTTTGATCCAGACCTCTCAAATTTTCTCCACATCAGCAATAAGGTTGTTTCACTTTTTTATCATTTGTGTGTTCACTGGAGTAGCACTTTCAATTTCCTTCAAGAATGTTTCCTTTGCATTTACAACTTGGCTAATTGTTTGGCAAAGGAGACCTAGCTTTTGGCCTATCTTGGCTTTCAACATGCCTTTCTCATAATAAAGCTTAATCATTTCTAGCTTTTGATTTAAAGTAAGATACACCCGATTCTTTCTTTTACTTGAATACTTACAGGCCATTGTAGGGCTACTAATTGGCCTAATTTCAATGTTGTTATGTATCAAGGAATAGGGAAGCTTGAGGACAGGGAGAGAGATGGGGAAGTAGCTGGTCAGTGGAGCAGTCAGAACACACACAAGATTTATCAATTAGTTTGATTTCTTATATATGTGTGATTTGTGGTGCTCCAAATAATTACAATAGTAACTTCAAAGATCACTGATCACAGATCACCGTAACAGATATGATAATAATGAAAAAGTTTGAAATATAGTGAGAATTACCACAATGTGTTACAGAGGCACAAAGTGAGCACATGCTGTTAAAAAAATTGCAGTAATAGACTTACCTGATGCAGGATTGTCACATATCTTCACTTTGTAAGTGATACAATATCTGTGAAGTGTCATAAAGCAAAGTGCAATAAAACAAGATATGACTATGGTAAATATTTTAGATTTTTGTCTCTACTATACCTATTCAGCTCTGCCATTGTGAAAGACATATAAGTAATGCCCTTTTAAAGATAGGCATGATTGTAATAAAACTTTATTTCTAAAGGCAGGTAGAAGGTTGACTTTGATCTGCAAGCTATGGTTTGCTGGCCCTTGTTTTAGCCCATGGGCTAAGTAATTAACAAATTCCTGATTTCAAATTTTAGCTCTACTGCCCATTAGCTGTGTGATGCTAAGCATACTTGATTGTATTATCTCAATTATTTCTCAAAATAACCCTTGTGTAATGCATTAATTTCCTCAAATTACGAGTGAAACTTGATGGCTTATAGAGGTCAAGTCCTCAGACTTCCTAGGATATAAGAAGTAAACCTGGGATTCTAATATGAGTTTGTATAAATTCATAGCTTTCAGCTTTTTTGATTATGATATGTTGCTTATAACTCTCGTTTACTTCTGAAATAAAATTCTAAGCCAAGTTTGGAACCTTGGGGACATAAAGAGAAAGAAAATGGGGAGGTGTGCAGTGATCATTACAGATGATTTAG